GTTGCCAAGATATATCCCATTTCACTGTGAGGTCGATGTTGGAAGACCCACATTTCGATACATGTTGCCATGAGATATCCCATTTCACTGTGAGGTCGATGTTGGAAGATCCACATTTCGATACATGTTGCCATGAGATATCCCATTTCACTGTGAGGTCGATGTTGAAAGACCCACATTTCGATACATGTTGCCAAGATATATCCCATTTCACTGTGAGGTCGATGTTGAAAGACCCACATTTCGATACATGTTTTTACAAATAAAGTTGTCCATATTTGTTACAAAATTTTATTCTGTGTGGGTATCATTTGCTAAAATATGTTTTGAAAATTCTTGCCAATTATAATTTATAAAACAACCAGACTTTACTGTAAGTGATTTTTCAGCCCTTCGAAAGTTAAAGCTAAATGTGGGTCTTCCAACATCGACCACACAGTGAAATGGGATATATCTTGGCAACATGTATTGAAATGTGGGTCTTTCAACATCGACCTCACAGTGAAATGGGATATATCTTGGTTAATTATAATGAAGTAGATTCACGCACTTATAAAAGTATATATAAAGACATAATGTATTTTTACATGACGGCAGAATTGCATATTAATATAAATCAGGTCAAACACACAAAATAAAAACATATACCAAAGAAAATGAGAATTATCCCCTCACTCTCAAATAAACTATTTTCATTCTCAGTGTGAAAATGAACAATAGTAATTATTAGAATATATAGAATTCGACTGATATATTTATTAAGGTAATTTTAGTTCCACCAGACATTAATCTCAATCTAAATATATTAGTATTTAATATGACAAAAATAAAAGGGAAAACACTCATAAACGAAAGCGTATCAAGGAAGCTACGAAAATGGCTTTGTGTGGTATGTACTTTTATTTTATTTTTTGTAGATACGCACACATATATATTTAATAATTCATCATTTTAAAAGAAAGTTTAAAGTTATTCCAGTTTACCAGTTAGACTGTCTTTATCTCTCGGTGGGGGTGAATTATAGTTTTAAAACATAGAACCTCAAATACGATACCAGTACATTTTGAAACTTTTGACCTTTACAAATTATATTTTATGAACAAATTTCACAAACGCTTGCGGTGCCTTTCTTTAGAAGCTAATGTCGCTCTTTTATTTGTTCTGTCGTAGGGCAAAAATTATATTAGAAAATTAATTTAAATTGATAATACTGTTTTAATATCTGAATTCATTTAATTTTTGTTTAACGTACCTCCTCGTTACCTCCAAAATATTTGTGTCCGAGTTCCTTCAGCCTTTTCAGGCTGAGATATCCACGGTTTTCTTCGTCACACACATCGAAAACTTCTTGAAGACTCGTCACGAGGTCTGGGTCTAAGGCCATCAGTGGCTACCATTTTGTAAACACATGATACAGAACCAAATCTTTCTTATAAAATGATTAAAAATAGTAAATAAACGTTTTCTTTGAAGAATCTCCTTCCTTATTACATTGTGTTAAGTCAATGGATACACAAATTCCTTTCCTACTCACTCCCGAACTGATAGCACTATACTTCTTCTATTGTATCCACGCGGTAACTAAGAACGCCATGTGGCGGATGAATAATAGTGAAGAAATAATATAATATAGTTCTAATTATTCAAATCTACTTTCTGTATAAATATTGGATCAGATAAAGCACTTATTATGTTTATTTTGAAAATATATATTTGTTACTATCATGTTAAATTAATTACCAAATATTAGTAAACATTTTTTTTGTTGTTGTTCAGCGGATTAGCACACATTTTGACAACAGCAGTAGCGCGTAAGGGTGGTGTTTCCTGTTGCTACACGTGCGTACAACATACAAGTATATCAATAACCACTGCAAATAGCGAGGACATCCAACTGTTGACTCAGGACAGAGTGATCACAGAAGCTTTTTGTATTTTGCCTGTTATTCATATTTATGACTAATTATTCTTGATTTTATTTTTTATTGAATAATTTTAGCAGCTCTTCTTGTTGAAGTTATTACATAAATATACGTGTATAGCAAAAATTTTAATTTACTTAGTACGTATTTTATATTGTCCCACACAAGAGCTTTAATATAATTCGTAGAATTAGATGAAAGAATTCAACTGTTCTTGTAAAACTGATTCTGGCTATGACTGGAATCATGTATCTAATGTATGACATATTAACAATAGGAGCTGTTCTGTACTAATTCGATGACGAGGAACCCACTTTGAGACTAATAATGCTTGGAGACGGTGATCTCCTGATGATGACAAAATCTTGTCCAAACGTTGTACAATTGCTGTTATGTT